GCATAACCGGAAAGAATGGAACTTTCCACACCGAGCAAGCCATCGAATATGGCACTAAGATGGTATGTCAAATCCGTATCTAACTTTTATCTCTTATTTTTCATGGAATTTTTTCCCTTTTTCGTGGATTTGATTAATGGGTCTATTTTCTTCACTGCAATACTTGGGTATCGAGAAAATCCTGGAAAGTGAGAGCTTTAAATGATTTGTTTATACATGTCTAGGAATTGGGTTTAAGTTAGTTTTGTAAGATATTATGTTAAATTTTGCATATCATAATGTTACAATTTCCATTACGTCTTTACATATTCTGGAAATGATCAAATGCTTCTTATTAGTCCTTGGTTTTATCTCATTTTTCTTTTGATAGGTTGGTGGAGTTACACCAAAGAAGGGTGGCACAGAGCACTTAGGGCTTCCTGTTTACAACTCAGTTGCTGAAGCAAAAGCTGAAACCAAGGCCAATGCTTCTGTCATCTATGTTCCTCCACCTTTTGCTGCGGCTGCTATCATGGAGGCTATGGAAGCTGAACTGGATCTTGTTGTTTGTATCACGGAAGGAATTCCTCAACATGACATGGTAAATGAATCAAAGAAACCTTGGAATGAAAGCTATTTTTTCACGTGTGTCTAAATTTGTAGCACTGCTTCTTTATTTCTGGAAATGAATTTGTATTGTGGTTTTCTTTTTAGAAGTTATCCCAGTATGCTTATTTGCGTTATGTGCACTTCCAAGAGTGTGACTGCAATATGATCCTGTGGGCTGCCTGTGACTCAAGCCGCAATTTATACCTTTGGAGTTGTGATTTGGAAATGAGTTCTGATCATTTTTTCATATAAAAGCTGATATCTTTGTACTGCAGGTCCGTGTCAAGGCTGCCCTTAATCAGCAATCAAAAACCAGGCTAATTGGTCCAAATTGCCCTGGCATCATTAAACCCGGAGAGTGTAAGATTGGAATTATGCCTGGATATATTCACAAACCTGGTCGCATAGGAATTGTTTCTCGATCTGGCACTTTAACATATGAAGCTGTAAGATCTTATATTGGATACATCTAATTTCTGTGTTCCCTATATCACTTTCTTATTCTCATATTTGTTCATACTAGTCAGTAATCACCCTCAGTATTATTATGTCTGATTATACATCACCACATGTTCCCCCCCCTAAACTACCTAACCCATTTCTCAAGACATTTTGAAGATGAGATTTTGCCCTTCTGGCAGAGCTTTTGATATCTCTGTATTTTTAGCGTCTCTGTTTTAACCGCATGGTCTTGTCCTTTTAAGATATTTATTTGTGTTACAGAAAACGTGAAGTAATTCTCACATAACTTTTTTTTTCCTATTCAGTGAAGAATAAATGTCAAAGACGAAAGTTTTCTAGTTTTCAATTTGATTTGATGGAAGTTGTTGAAAAGTGTGAATAGAATTAACCCTATGAAAATTTCTTTGATACCTAAGTTAATCTGCCCTATCCTTCAGTAGGTATATATACATAGATTCATAGTTTTCATATTTGAATCGTCATAGAACTCAAGAAAATCACACAAAACGGGGTTACACTAAACTAATTCTGTTTTCTATATTCCGATGAAAAATACTCCCCGGTAATAATTTTCAATATAAGTCTTTGTTAATTTATCTTGTAGGTTTTTCAAACAACTGCAGTTGGTCTGGGGCAATCCACCTGTGTAGGAATGGGTGGGGATCCTTTTAATGGGACCAACTTCGTTGATTGTGTGACAAAATTCCTTGCTGATCCTCAGACAGAAGGTAACATTTTCCTAATTTAGTATTATCTGAGTTGTTAGTTCTACAGTACATATTGGATTAAAATTTCTTTATTACTGTGTGACTGTATCTTGTCTATCATGGTTTGGCATAGTTTATGTCCAAACCATATTTAATTCTACATTTATTGCCTTGTTTCCATCATTTGTTGTTTTCATTTTGTCCCATTTACTCGTTACTTTTCGCTTTGTACTTGGTGTAAGTTACTATTGTGAAAAACTCTTTAACTGGTTGCCGAAATGGAATGCCTACTTTCTGATTTTTGCAATTTCATTCAGGTATCATTCTAATTGGTGAGATCGGAGGCACAGCGGAAGAAGATGCTGCTGCATTGATAAAGGTAATATTCATACTTCAAAATGAATGAACTAAAGGGCTCCTTGTTCCAGAGACTGATGAAAGTATTTACTAATTGCTTGTGTTACATATGTGGGGTAATAAATAGTAGACTTCCATGCAGATACTCGCTTAGTTAATAGTAAGATCAAATATATTTTGTAAGAGTCGCTTTATAATTTATACTTATGTACACTTCAGTAACTTCTAGAATAGGCTTCTCTACTCCTCAATTGGGTTAAAATTCACATTTTATATAATTACACGGAATTATATTTTAGCAACAGCCCTATTTTGCACTGATGATAACATGTAAATAGTGGTAGGATTGGGAGTTTGTTTTTATGAGGTCTATTTCTCTTAAAGAACTCATGGTGACCTTAATCTACCTCCTTGGAAAAAAATAAATTACCTTTGGGTAAAAGAAACATAAACAGAAAAATCTAGCTTGGAATAAAATAGGAAACTATAAATATCTAGAGCAAATATAGAGCCCTTTAGAGTTTAAGTATAGGTTTATGGTTTGCTATATTGTGGGAATCTGGTATATGTTTCACTGGTAAAATTTCTTGACTGTAACTTATGGCTATGTTATACCTTGGACTGCATCTTACACTTTATGTTTGAGACCCGTTTGTTATTTATGTGATTGGATCTCTTATAATATGATCCTTGGATCTACAAATGAAATTAGTTTGTGCTCATATATACGCATATGGTGAATTAATTCAGCCCCTCTAGCATTGTGGTCCTTGTTTGTGCTTCTATGAACTTATGATGAATTGGTGTTTCTCTTTGCTTCTTTTTTGTTAATTTACGTGCATAGATATGATAGAAATGCTTGAATTTATTTTCTTTTTTCATATAGCAATATGATAGTAATATCGAACCTTCTTTTATCTCATTTTGACTGCACTTGCATATTACTAAAAATGGATTTAACATCTGATTTTGTTTTATAAATGAAACAGGAAAGTGGGACTGAAAAGCCCATTGTTGCCTTCATTGCTGGACTTACTGCTCCTCCGGGGCGACGTATGGGTCATGCAGGAGGTAAGACATTGCTTCCATCTTTGTTCTTGATGTATGTATGTATGTATTGAAGTTGAGAGGATATACCATTGAAATTGACTATTGTGAGCATGGTTGAAAGAAAAATTAGATCTTTGTTGAAAACTCTTTCTGGGTTTTTTCTTAACCTATTTTGGGTGGTTCTGTAATTATTCACTTCAACTTGTATGGTTGAACCACCAACCAGTTCTCGGTTCAACCAATCCGGTCTGGTTTTGATACGACCGTGATAGTGGGATATTTTTGTGTGTGGAAACAATATAGCCATTCTTGCTCTGAAATGGTGTGTGTTTGTACAAACAGCTATAGTATCAGGGGGAAAGGGCACGGCTCAGGACAAAATCAAGACACTAAGGGAAGCTGGAGTGACGGTTGTTGAATCACCTGCAAAGATTGGTGCAGCGATGCATGATGTTTTCAAGCAAAGAGGTCTCCTGAATTAGCCACCCCACCCCATTCTTCTTCTTTTTAACCATAATAAGTTTCATTTTGGTTGACATATTTCATATATTTCCATTGTTTTTTGTCCGAAATTGTTTTATACTGAAAATGAGGGAAAATCTTGTACCCTTCCTCAGTGAAACCATCATTTGGCAGAAGAAAAGGTTTCGCTTTTAAGTTTATTCTATCAGCTTGAATTATTGATTAGAAAACAAAAACAAATGTAAAATTTTTATTTTAACTTAATTAATAATGATTAGGATTATTATCAGTAAAAAATAAAAAAATGTACAAATGGGATGAAAAATAATATTCTTAATTATACATAATTATGAAAATAATGGTCTTAACTATATATTTTATGAAACTTCTGACCAACTTGACTAACAATTCATAATATAGCAAACATCAAATGACAATCACTATTTTTAAAACCCTAAAAGCTTCAACTGGTTAAAATGTAGTCAATTGTTATCGTATATCCACACAAAAACATAATACTTTATCGAAACAAATATTAGTCAAAATAACTTGTATCAGTCAATCCAAAGGGCGTGCAAAATACGCTTTAGGTGACAATCTGAATTTTTGAGTTGGTGCTTAAGAATTGGCTTTTAGTTTTTTTTTAAATAAAATAATATGATTAGGGCATGAAGATTTCATGGTTCGAATTTGAATCAGATCAGATGAGAAATCGACATAGTTAGCGTTAGAAAGGGGATTTGAAATCCTCCGATTCTAGTAGTGCAAAGCTTCAATGCCATTATCGAAAACCAGATGCGTGATGAAAAAAGAGTTCATCGAGGGTGAGAATAATGTGATGGTTTGTCATTTGGGGTTTAGGGTTTAATCTAGGGTTTTTAAATTTATTTTAATCTTATATAATATAAATATTGAAATGACCATCTAACTCAGTTGGTAGAGCATAATGTTTTTTTTAACCTTGGGGTCATGGGATCGAGTCACACGGAGGACATTTTATAATTTGGATGTCTCCTACGGAAGCTGCTCTCAACCTGGCGTTGGCGCAGTCTACTATCCTACCTCCCCTTACCCTATTACATATGAGAATAAGGGTAAGCTAATTTATAATATAAATACTAATAAATTAATAATAAAAATATTATATCATAGAAAATTATTAAATAAAATAAGTTAAGAGGTTAAAATAAGAAATAATTAAAAAATGTAATGGTTAAATTAAAAATTTTAAAATTTTAATGATCAAATAGGAGTGAAAAGAAAATAGAGGGATGAATGTTGTACTTTACTGAGGAACAGTGCTGTATTAGTATTCGAGTATTTGTATTGGGCGTGGCGCCACATTTGGAAGCTACACCACCTTTCCGACTTCCCACACCCCTCTGCTCTCTGTTACTTCACAGTACCATATTCGGTCGTTCGTTCCGGCGCCGATGAGGGGGCGAAAGCGGACAGGAGCTGCTGGTATCAGTGAGTGTCATGAAAATAGTAGGATTCTAAGAGCTAAACCCAACTCCTCACAAACCCAAGCAAAACCCAAAAATTTAGACGGATTTTCTGCAAAGGGGCCTCCTTTCAAAGGAACCAAAACCGGGCGAGCCGTGTTTTCTTCTAAGAAGCGCAAACATAAGACTTTGGAAAGAGAAAATAATGAAGAGGAGGAGAAAGAAGAAGAAACTACAGAGGAGGATGCTGATTCAGAAACTGATGGCAGTCAAGAAAATGACGGGGAAGATAAAGAAACAGAGAAAGCAAATGATCCCGTGTCAAATTATTCAAAGAAGAAGAGCGATGCTACAGTAAGAAAATGAACCCTCCGTTTTACGTTGGTCTTGATGGGTTTTCCTGATTCTCTTTTCATTTTTTCGGGGTTTCAGGGAAAGTCACTAATGTGCCATCAGTGCCAGAGGAATGATAAAGGTCGAGTTATTAATTGCAAAACTTGCCGCAGGAAACGATATTGCATCCCCTGTATAACTAATTGGTATTCTTTATTTTATTTAATTTTGTCTTCTTTCTTAGGTTTGATTCTTATTATTATTCTCCATCTCCATAAATTGGCTTGACTCATATAAGTTGTCATCCACTTAAGAATTAAGATTGTATGTGACTGTGAGTTTGAATTCTTTGGTAATACTAGATTGTATTGGAGTTCCCATTTAGTGCTTTATTTTAATATTCAGTGAAAGCCTTGTGTTGGGAAGAGCTCTTGTATATATTCTTATTCTATGTGGACTTGTGGAGTTGCTGATAGAGCATTATACTAGAAGTGTTTCAGCTTTTAAACGAGTTAAATGGGTTTATGTGACCTTTTTTTTTCTCTCCTTTATTTTTAAATGTCTCATTGTTCCAAACTTTCTGTATTTAACATGTATTTCTCTTTTTCATGAGATGGTTTTTAATAAAAGATAAATTGGGTCAGAACTAGATAATGTTGACTAGACTATGCTGCATGTCAATTGAAACTGTGTATTGATTTGTAATAACATGATATCAGTGCTTCTAGGTGATCACTTCACTAACCCTTGAGATAGAGAGGAATATGATTATTGCTTAAGGATCATATCTGTCAAAAAACAATGCTTCTGTTGAATATACTCTAAAAGATCTATTGTACAATTATTTAAAAACTGAAATATGTTAAGAAATGCACAAAATTATGTGGGTTGAATAATTGCTGGAAACCTGCATATTTGCTTTGCTGGTGTTCCATGTAGTGCACATTTCTTGGATAGTTTTCTAGTCAAGAAATTTCAATGATTTTTTTTAGTTTTTTTATTAAATAAATAAACTTTACTTCTATTTGTTATTTTTTAGGTGCTTTGACAAATGCTTCCTCTTTCCAGTTTATTATCTCGATTTCTTAAGAAAGCATTAACTAGCTATTCCAAATAATATTAACACATTGAAAGCACAAAGGATCTTGTAATGTAAATATTGGTTGTTTATACTTGTCACCTGTTTCATGTTTTAGTTGAGTAGACAATTGCAATTTTCTTTTGCAAATGTCTCTTTTTCACTCCAGTTATACATGTGAACACATCTTGTTCATGTTATATACAATATGCGTTGCTTCTGGAATGTATGCAACTGCCAACACTTGTTCATGTTATATACTTTCACATTTTATCTATTGTGAATTTTGGACCAGGTATCCAGGGATGTCAGAGGATGCAATTGCTTATGCCTGCCCAGTTTGTCAAGATAATTGCAATTGCGGGTCATGCTTGCAGATGAGTGGATCTGCCAGGGTTGGTTCCATCTACAACTATATTTTATTCACTCTTCCTGCAATAATTGATATATTTATATATATATATATATATATATATATATATATATATATATATATATGGTGATAAACTGTAGAAATTGGAAAGAGCTCTACACTTACAATGCACCAATGATGAACAAGTTCAGCACTCTAAATATTTGCTTAAGTGGCTTCTCCCACACATCAAACTGTTTAGCCAAGAACAAATGAAAGAGAAGGTGATAGAAGCTAAAATTCAAGGTATGTTTTTTTTTTTGGTTTGATCTGGGCAGGAATGTCTGCTCATTTTGCAATGCAAGAGCTTTTTCTTGCAACTTAATTATTCTTTTTTATGTGCTCTAACTTGGCACTAGTTTATTTTATATATTCTCTATGTCCGTTTTACACTCCATATTCGGGGTTTGTGTTGTTCTCTCCTTGGGAGTGAATTGTGCCTTACCAACATTTGTTGATGTCTAACTTGGCACTATAGTAAAAGAATGGTTTAAAACCTTTGATTTGTGTCAAATCTTAGATTAATTAAGATTACCCATTTTACTTTGTTTTTCAAGTTGACTTGGTTTTATTGAGGTTAGCTTAAAACAATTTGTCTTGATTTGGTAGACAAAGGTAGCTTGATAATGGACAAGAAGATGCCGATTATGATGCTCCTGAAGTTGCTTGTTAGAATTCAAAATTTCTAAAACATTTGGCTTCTGGTAGATATAAAACTTGGTCTACATGTGCTCTTCTTGTAGTTTTCATGCTGGATTTGCCTGTTGTTTTCAAGGATCAAACTACTACTCTTTTCTTTTATAAGAATAGAAGGCCTCGTTAAAAACCCCCTTCATGATTAATGGAGCTCGTAAAGAAGCTCCTTGATCAGCGGAAGGAGGAAAAGAGTGCCTTAAAATTTCATTAATAACAGAAGAAGTACATAGCAAATACAACACCCAGAAACACTCCTTATAGAAACTAGAAAACCAAAAAGCATCCCTAAGCAACAACACTGAAGTCAGCCTATTCCAGCCTTAGCTAGGGCATCAGCCTCTAGGTTAGCTGTCCTAGCAACCCATCTAACAACACCCTCTAAAACTTTAAGCCTATCAACCATGTCTTTAACAATAAAAGCATACACATCAGGACATAATTCAAACTACTACTCTTAACATCATACCCTGGTTGATACAGTAAATGTCTTTCCATAACGAATTGTTTCTAGGAAAGAATCTTTGTATGCCATATGTAAGTAGGCAGTAGAACATCATTAGTTGATTTTTTTTTGTTTAATGTTTACTTAAATTAATTTTTGTTAACTTTGATTTTTTGGACGAGTAGGGGTGTTCCCGTCAGAAATACAGTTGAAGCAGGAATTTCCTTCTTATCATAACCATGTATATTGGTATGTTATAAATATTGTCATATATGATCATTTGGTTTGTTGTTAAAACTTAAAATTCCAGGTATTTATCAGATTACTGGTGCTGTTTTGTATTCTTGTGCAGTGGCAACTGCAGAACTTCGATTGCTGATTATCATCGAAGTTGTCCCAACTGTAGATATGTTCTCTGCCTTAATTGTTGCCAAGAAATTCGTGAGGGAGGTTTGCAGGGGGGAGAAGAAGTAAATATTGAATATTTTAACAGGGGCTCAGCTTACTTCCATGGTTCAGCTCATATTTTTACATATCCAGAAGAGAGGACGCCTCTTGATTCATCTTCTGGAACTGATTCTGAAGAATACTGCTGTGCAGCAGCTATTTGGAAGGCAGATGAAAATGGTAGTATTTCTTGCCCCCCAAAAGATTTGGGTGGTTGTGATAGTGGTCTTTTAGTGTTGAGATCTATGTTTGCAGAAAATGCTGTTGTTGAATTGGTAGAAAAAGCAGAGGCAATAGCCAAAGATCTCAATCTTGAAACCACACATAACTCTCCTAAACAGGAGTGCCTTTGTTACACCTCAACTGATGAAATTGACTTTGCCAATAGTAAGCCAAGGAAAACAGCTTCTCGAGAAGATTCCACTGATAACTATTTATATTGTCCAACAGCTAAAGATGTTCAGAATGGATGTTTGAAGCATTTCCAAAGGCACTGGAGCAAAGGTGAGCCTGTTATTGTTACTAATGTGCTCGAGAATTCAACTGGTTTGAGCTGGGAGCCGATTGTTTTGTGTCGTGCCTTACGTCGGTTTAAAAGCACCAAGTTTGAGCAACATCAGAATGTGAAGGCCATTGATTGCTTATGTTGGTCGGAGGTCAGTTTGTTTTTTTTTTTGTCATCTGCCGTGGCTCAATTTTATAAATATATGCCACTAAACTTCATTGCATGCAATTTCTTGTACCAATGTTTATGGATTGCTGTAATCAAAATCAATATTCATTTCCCCTTCAAGGTTCTGTACATCATATGTTATTGTCTGCACTATATGTTGCTGCATGTTAAAATAAGTGATTTTTTTTGTTGACTGATACATCGTATGGTTTCTATTGTAAAAGCAGCATGGCCGATCTCTTTTATTTCTTTTCCAGTAAAACCTAGTATCATCTATTTTAGTTAAATGTTTGAAAGTACATGGATCAATAATTGATTGATTTTAGTTAACACACTGCCCCCCTTGTAACTACAGGCCACAGGGTAACTATTGCCAAATTATTTTCTGGTGAAAACAATTGCTGTTAATTTACTTTAGAAATATAATTACAACAAAAGTATGGAATTGATAATCATAATAAGTTGACAATAGTATTGTTAGTTTCAAAGTTGTTTATAGATGCTTTTGCAGTGAACATTTGAGTTCTTCAAGTTTGGTTTTAAATCAGCTCTCTATGAAATGCAGGTAGAGGTCAAACTTCATCAATTCTTCAAAGGATATAAAGATGGTCGTTTTGATAGATATAATAGGCTACAGATTTTGCAACTGAAAGACTTGCCAGCATCCATGACATTTGAGAGGCACCTTCCACGTCATCATGTTGAGTTTCTTCGTTGTTTGCCCTTAAAGGAATATACACACTCTTGTCATAGCTTTCTTAACCTTGCTACCAAATTATCTGGGATACTTTCCGAGCCAGAGATGGGTCCAAAGTTACATATTGCATATGGACTAGCTCAAGAGCTTGGGCGAGGAGACTCTGTAATCAAGCTTCATTGTGATATGTCTGATGTGGTATTTTGTCTAACCTTTTTTTTCTCCTTGCTTTCTTTAAATATTTAATTTTGCATTATTAGAAACTTTTTGTTAGATCATAGGACTTTGAGGAGCTTTCTTTATTATACCAGCATATTTTGTTGCAGTGAACAATGTTTCTTTGGGTTATGAAACTTATGTATAAGACCTGAAAGTCGTCAGATAAGGTCTTGAAAACAATGTTCCTTTTGTTTCCTGGTGTTGCTGACTGTAAATACTTATGGGTCCATGCACTAGTTAGTAGTTTCCATTTGTCAGACGTAAAATCTGCATTATAAACCATTTGATGGAATAATTTTTTCATTTCCGATCATGTATGTTAGGGAAAAAAATTTATAGGAATATTAGATGGTATTACTGCTTCTGTTTGATGAGTTTTCCTTAATGGCTGGTAGATATAATAAATATGCATTTAACATCATTAGGGGGAATATTAATGAGTTTTGATTGGTAAGTTATTGGCTTACGGTCATATATTTTATGCTACAAAAAAGTGAGAGATATATTAGGTAACCTCCCTTGGTTTGCTGTGTTCTTGTAATCTAGTACTTGAAGTCTGTAATTTTGACAAGTGAAGATGTAAAATAATAGGAAGAGGATACTTGTATTTTATTCATCAACATTACAAGTATAAATGTTTTATAATATGTAAAATAGTATCCGACGTTAACTACATAATATCATACATTAATACAATATATATCAACCCTAATATTTAGTCTATAAATATGTAACACTCTCTGGAGCTTAGAATCATGGCCTATTTGTTTTTATAGAAAATCAATCTTGACCGCATTAAGAGCCTTTCTGAAAATACCTCCTAGTTGTTCTCTATTTTTCACATAGCAGGTAGTAATCAGACCTTGTTGGATTTTTAAACAAATGAAATGGCAATCAACCTCAAAGTGCTTTATTCGTTCATGAAAGACTGGATTAGAAGCAATGTGAAGCACAAATTGATTATCTCACTATACCTTTGCAATTACTGAAACCTTAATTCCCACTTCATTAAAGAATTGATATCTCCATATGATTTCACGCACATACTTGACCATAGTTCTATATTCCGCTTCTGTAGTAGATCGTGAGACCCCATTCTATTTCTAACTCTTCCATAAAATTAAGTTTCCTCCGACAAACATACAATATCGCGGAATAGATCTCATATGATTCCTTACATTCTGACCAACCTAAGTTCGAAAAATATTTGATCCTAGTATGATCATGATTCTTTTAGAATTTCATGTTTAGGAGCATTTTTCAAATAATGCAAAACTTGTTCTACTATCTTCCAATTATAGATGATGACATATGTTAGTTCACCACACATACCGGGTAAGCAATATCAGGACTTATCACAGTAAGATGATTGAACTTTCTAATAAGTCTTTGGTTTCTTACTTTTAAGTTATGTTACGGTTATATAGATTATTACTTTGTAAATATTAGTGTTTTATCCTATCACTAACTCTCGCATCCTACTTTGTAGATAAAGATAGTTTTAACTTGGCTAGAACTCTATTGTACCTATCTGATTACTGTAACATGAATTCAAGAAAAATTCCCAATATTCTTTCCAGTAAATTACATTTTCTATATGGTATCAGTTTAGGTTAGATCCCGACCACGACGGTTTCGGAGGTTGCGACCTCTGTTTCTCACTCGAATCCTGCAGACTCCGCTTTGTCTCCCATCACCTGTTATCGCTTAAAGGGTGATAACTGTATTCCCTGGTCTCAACCGGTCCGGATATACATCACGGGTCGTGAGAAACAACCTCTCAGAAAATATGCCAATACCAGATTCTTCTGATCCTCATACCGAGACTTGGTTGAGCGATAACAACATGATTATGTCATGGTTGCTCAATTCCATGGTGCCTGATGTCAGGGAAAACTATTTGTTTATAGTACTACCTCTGAAATTTGGCATGCTGTGTGAGAGACGTATTCTAATCTTGACAATTCTGCTTCTTTGTTTGGGATTGAGTGTTAAATTAATGAATTGAAGCAAGGTGATCTAAGTGTTATACAGTATTTTACTCAGTTGTCTCGATGAGGTTTGCGGTCAGATTTTGAGGGTTAAACCCCTTTTGTCGCTTCGAGAGGTTTTTCTTGGGGTTCGTCGCTAAGAGAGCAGGCGTTCTCTCATGCTTTCCACTCCGGCGGTTGAAGGCTCTGCTCTGGTGGTGCACACTTCTGGTGATTCTCGTTATGGCTGTAAATGAGGTCAGTTCGAGTATTGTTGAGCTCGACTCGACTCAAAAATTCTAAAATGGAGCTCGATTCGGCTTGAAAACTCGCGAACCTAATATTTTCAAGCTTGAATCGAACTCGAAACTATGAATTGAAGCTTGAAAAAGCTCAAAATGAAAACAAAAACTTAAACTTAACTCGATTGAAACTCGAACCTGGACCTTCAGTACATGAAAATTTTATATTGTATTTTTTTAAAAAAAATCAACAAATAAATGTTAATATTATTAATAATTATTTTTTTCAAAATAAAATTTTAATATATTATAATTTCGAGTTTCTCGTGAGTATTTTAAGTTGAGTATCAAGTAGCTCATTTCGACTCGTTAAAAATTCTAGTCGAGCTTGAGTTGAGTCCATTCAAGTCGAGTATTTATCGAACTTTGATCGAGTCGATCTTGAGTAGTTCACGATCTGTCTCGTCTCATTTACAACCCTAATTCTCGTTCTAAGAAGGGTTGACCTTTGTTCAATCACTGCAAAAAGGTTGGTCATGTTCGTGATAAATGCCAGAAATTTCATGGGTGCCCATCTGACTGGAAGCCTTCCAAACAGCCTTCACAGCGTGAACCCCTTGGTAAATCTGCTACGGTTGATGCTGCAGGCAGTGGATCCTTCAGTCGACAACAAATGGAGGAGCTAAAACAAATTTTTGGTTAATTCCAGTCTTCTTTAGAGCCCAAACACGCATGTGTTGTGCGTGAAGGTAGCCCCTCTTTCACTCCATTATTTCTTCGCCCGATTCTATTTCTTGGATTGTTGATTCCGGGGCTAGTGATCATATGATGGGTGATGTCGCACTATTTCAGAAATTTCAGAATGCAGTCTCTTACTCTAGTGTCTGAACTGCTGATGGTTCACTTCCGGCTATTGCTGGCAGTGGCTCTATTCGCATCAATCCACGTATTGTTTTATTCTGTGTTTTTTACGTTCCAATTTTGGCTTACAATCTTCTTTCGGTCAGTAAATTGTCTGCAGAATTGTGTTGCACTACCACTTTTAACTTCGATATTTGTGAATTTCAGGTGAATGTTTTGGTGCATTCTACTGAAGTAAAGCTTACAGATGAGCAGCTTGTAAACATCAAGAGTTTAAAAGAGCTTTTGCAACATCAAAAGCGAATTTTTGGGATGAGGACGAAGGTTGATGGAGCTGAGCCTGCATGTTATTCTTCACCGAATGCAAGGATGTCAAAACTTGAAGACATTGAGGTGGAAGATGTTCAGGGAGGTGCTATTTGGGATGTTTTCCGGAGAGAAGATGTTCCCTAGCTAAGGGATTATCTTAACAAGCACTTTACAGATTTCAGGCATATAGATTGTTATCCATTATCACAGGTGAATGCATTTTGAATACAACTAATTTCTAACTTAATCTATGTTTTAAATAACCAATCTATGATATTGGTAGGTATTGAGATGGTTACATGTTTACGATTTTGGATTTTGAGTGAGCCAGTCTGTTTTGATCAGGAATTTGATTTGTAGGGTGGAATTGGAAGAAAAAGGTCTTAATATTGTAATGATCTTTTGGTTTCCAATAAACTCCGAAGAAGATGCTCCAAATGCTAGCAGGGTCGGTGTAAAATATATAAAGTTGTCTCCTTTGATGCTTATGTCCTAAATTACAAGTCTGTTCTCCAATGAGCAGTGAACTTATCTTAAAACTGTGGCAAAGATATGTCTGTCTAATGTTTTCTTAAACTAGATGTTTATTATTTTGGCCCAAAATATTTAGTAATGAGAGTTCGATGACTGCATTGACATTTAGAGTGTGCAGTTTTGCAGGGTAAATAGAACCATGAAATAGAAACAATACAGTAATCCTTTTACTGAATTGTAGACTTCTAGTTTCTTTTATTTTATCTAGTGCCATAAACTTTAATTTATTAAGTTCTGGCAAACCGATGCTTTTTCAGTTTTACAGTTTTCAGAGACTCATTGATACTTCTTTTGGGATATATATAGGTTGTGGACCCTATACATGATCAGTCTTTTTACCTGACTGTGGACCATAAGTCAAATCTTAAGGGAGAATATGGTATGTTGAAACAGATGAATTTTTTAAACCAGTAAAATAAAGCATCGCTCTTTGATTATGGTTAATTATTAATATGCTGACATGCAGGAATTGAACCATGGACATTTGTTCAGAAACTTGGTGAGGCTGTTCTTATAGCCGCTGGCTGTCCTTATCAAGTCAGGAACATTAAGGTATCCCGATTTTCTTTTTGCACTCCTTTTCTCGTTCTTTAGTTATATAAGTATTGGTGGAATTGAAATGATTTCAATCCTCTTAAGGAGTATACCATCTTGTTCATTTCTAACGGGGTCCATATAAAGGCATGGTATGGCATATTGTAGGAGATATTCTAGTTTGGCATATTGTAAAGGGATTGTATTTTCATAGATGAATTTGGTTTCTTCCTGCTAACCAATCAATACGGTCATGCTTATATTTTCTGATGCTAGTCTCAATTTTCAACAGTCCTGTATAAAGGTTTCACTTAATTTTGTTTCACCTGAAAGTTTTGGTGAATGTGTTCGTTTGACGGAGGAATTTCGTGTACTTCCTCAAGGTCACAGCGCTAAAGTGGATAAATTGGAGGTATGTGGGTAGTTATGTACTTAATATTGATGTTGCACTTTTGTTGTATATGTGACTTATTCTGGCTTAACTTCCTGGTGTTTTGTTGGTTAAGTTTTGAGCTTAATGCAGTGTTGAACTTGAACATGCAATCTCTGCTTATGTGTACATGAAATTTGTTGTATCATAACCACCTGGACCTGAGTCCTTTATTCTGTTTAATGCCTTTTCTCCGTGAAATGCCATCTGAAACAGGCAAGGAGAATGGCTCTACAAGCAATGTGTTCTGCAGTAAACTGTTTGGATCCAAAGGCTCGGTGAGTTACTTTAAATGCATATATGAAGAATGGTGTCTTTATACAGGGAATGTGTGCGGCTTTTCTTTATAGGTTTTTGTCGGAGTACTGTTATCAGACATCCATTAAGTCTTAGAGATATGGCCTGCTAATCAGTTTTTCTATAATGACGGCAATTGGAAATAGAAATGTAAGGAGTACTTGGTGATGTACGGAGTACTTGGTGATTCTTCTCGTTTTCGTTATTTGAACCATTTTGAAAGGCTTGGCATGCTAATAGGAATTTCTCAGAATGTATTACACTTGGATTTTCTTTAAGCGCCAACAATCACAAACAACATACATGAATGTTAGTTTATTGCTTGCCTTTTGAGCTAGGTTATGTAATTTAATGTACTTTTTTCAAGGGAAAATGGAAGTTTGTATTACCGAGTGTTATGTGGTTTTATAGCTGTTAGTTATCATGGTGTTCGTGAAAGCATTTTACTGTTTTTGAGTTTGTCTGAGATAAGCTTTTCCAAAATCTGATCTAGCAATGATCGTCGACCTGCTCTTTATGAGTATCCTTGATTGTTCCCACTTCTAAAACGTATATCTAGTTGTATGTGTTTGAACTAATGCTTTTCCTTTCCCCTCCTCTTTCAGTTTTTCCGGAGAGAGGGGAGTGAGAATCCCTGAATTCCATCAGTGTATGTTAAGTTCAAGTCCTTCAGGCAAGCATGGAGTGGGTAGGCAGCTGGAGACTGATTGTTCTCTTCCTTTTGTTGCCGAGCACAGATCTACCAGTAGGAAGGGTAAAGAAAATGAGGTGGTTTCTGATGAAGAGTCTGAATACAGTGATCATGGTAGTGCTGCTGACATTGATGAGGAAGAGGAGGTTGCTCAAGATAGAGAAACAAAAGTCCAGATCGAGGCAGATACTGGGGATGCTGATGAAGGCACAATGGAGAAGGAAGTTGAGACTGAGGTAGATGCCAACAATGACATGGAAGATCCTGACATTGGAAAGGAAGATGAGGTTGCTCTTCATCAAGAAACAGAAGTCCAGATTGAGGCAGTTGTCAGGGACCCTGATGAAGGAAGAATGGAGAAGGAAGTTAAGATCGAGGTAGTTGACATCGATAGTGGCAATGACATGGAAGATACTGACATTGAAGAGGAAGATGAGGTTGCTCTTGGTCAAGAAACTAAAGTCCAGAAGATTGAGGCAGTTGTCAGGGACCCTGATGGTGCAATGGAGAAGGAAGTTAAGGTTGAGGTAGTTGATATCGATAGTGACAATGACATGGAAGATCCTGTAGACCCTACCATTGAAGATCCCAAAACCTTGAACACCATTGCTCCAACTTATCCAAAGAAACATGTGGCCTCTCCGGTTCATGCATTTCACAATGCACACAGTTCATCAGCAACTTCTAGTGCGCAACATACCGATTGTTATACTGTTGATTTCTATGGTTTTCAAGTGTCAGCAAACCACAAGCGATATTTGGAAGTGATCTATAACATCGAGGGTGCTTTCTGGAAGAGCTGTGCCATCCAAAGTCCGGTGTGGATCTCTTCCTTGCTGAGGCTATTTGGTGACGCATTGGCATTGTGTGATACGCCATGGTGCTCGTTATCTCGAGACGATATAAGATGCATGGTTCGGTCCATTGAGGATGCTAAGGCTATTGGATTCAGTGTTAGCTGTTTGGAGCCTCTCATTGAAGAGGCTAGGACCATGATAGCCTCTTATGACAACTGTTTGGGTCTGAAAGACCAGTGGATCAGAGTGAAGAAGGAAATAGAATCAGTAAAGGGCAAGCTGGCATACTTGAGAAATCAGAGGAGAGAACTTAAAAGAAAGCTAAATGCTCTTTACAGCAAGATTGGGCGTTCATCTACTGCATTTAGCTTTGTTCCTAGAGTTAATTACACACTTGTTGGCTCTCCCAAATGGTAAAATGTGTAGGTGAAAGTTTGCACACTTGTTAAAAGTAGTCATCGCTTTAACTATATATCCTATACTTTTGTACTAAAGTTAAAACTCGCGAAAGCCATCCAACACACACCCACCCACCCGTGCGCGCACACACATATATAAAAGTGTTCTAATTGAAAAGCTTTTATTTTTTTTTTCTTTTCCTTGTTACAGATTCCTTTGTTATCAAAACCAAAGGTTTGTCATCAAGAATTGCAAACAAGCCCTATATATTTTTAAGGGAAAGTCAAACAAACCCAAATTGAAATATGAAATATCCATCCTTCAAAGACTAGGCAAGTTCGAGGAAGATGGAAGATCTATTTTCTAGGGTTGCCTCATTTTTTTCTCTAGAAAGATCATCATCAACGTCAAAGTTCGATGTACATTCCTTTTGTTCTCTTTCCTTCCTCAAATCGAAAATTAGATCCCAAACATTTCGATTATGTTGTTGCTTTTGTTCGGGGTTGATTGATTTTCGTTGAAGCTATGAGTGATTCTATTTTCAATTTAATACGGGTGATTTTGAGTTATTTTTTTCTTTCTCCTTTCTCTTTATTTTCCTAAAAAATTTACTAAAGAAACGGTAGAGAATAAAATATGAAAAAAGAAAGAAAGAAGGGAACTTATTATCCATTGAATAACACTTTTTTAAAAGATGTAACAAATTAACCATAAAATAATTATGGAATGAAATATTAGATATATTTTGATATGAAAAAATTTAAACACTTAAAATAAAAAATAAAATTAATTTAGACACTTATATTGTAATAAAATATTTTTTTATAGAAAGTCTCTAGTTTTATTAAAAAAATAAAACATATCTAAAATTACAATGAAGATTTACAAATATAATGTAAACGTAAATTATAATTAGGATATTTTCTTATAACCATTAACATAAAAACTAGCCACCTAGATCACACAATGACCAAATAAGGAAAAGGTTAAAAAACCTAACAAAAAAGCTCGAACAAAATAAGGATACGAACAAATATGACTGCATCGACAAACGAACCACAAAAGGGGATGAAACTACTGAAGGCCACCGACAAATCGCAAATCAAAGTCAAGCAACGTGAAAAAACTCCACGAACGCAAAACGTATATTCAAATCAATCTGAGGGTCCAAAGTAGGGAAGATCATCATGATAACAAATAAGCGTAATATTTATCAGTCATGGCGAAGTCAAATCCAATCCTGAGAAAAAAAGATAAAAGAAAATAACAACAAAAAATCGTAAGCTACCAAGAGACAGAGAAAAACGTGCCACAAAGGCAGAGATAAACTTGTCATAAAGACAGAGAACATGTCATAAATACATAATTATTCTTATTAGAAAACTAAAAAAAATAAAGAAAAAATATAACATGCCGGCAACAACCAGTATCAAAACCGGTGTTTCTGCCAGTTAAACAAAATTAAAGAAGAAGAAAGTTGGATCGATTAATAAAATTGACACAAGTTGTAAAGAAAAAAAAAAGGAAAAGGAGTAAGAAAACGGCTAGGATTTAGAAGTAGAGTGTAATAAAATATTTAAAACAAATATATATAACCACTTTAAAAACAACAAATAAAAATGTTATCAATTTAAATATATTAATAATATTATGTAAAAAAACAAATCACATTAAATAAAATAGATCAATTAAATTTAAACAAATAACATTAAATAAAGTAGACCATTTAAATTTAAACAAATTACATTAAATAAAGTAGACCATTTAAATTTAAACAAATTACATTAAATTAAAATAGATCAAATAAATTTTAGTTTTTAGAAAAATAAAGAAATTAAAATCATATGGGTTTGATAACATTAATCGTTACGTTGAGTACCAATGAGAATGATGAATAGACTTTGGGGTGACCAATGTGTTATGGATTGGGAAATAAGAATAAGAAATTATCGAAGAAGTTGGGATTTTAGAAGAAGAAGAATGGAGATTACAGAAATGAATTCTCAGTCATTCAATTCATGAGCAAAAGATGACTACAACAAGTATTTTATTTAGTTACAAAAATAGTACTGAGAATCTAATTCCTGCCAACTGGCATTTTTGCTAACATACTTGCTTTTGTATCATTTCCCTTTTTAGCCTTCATTTGGGCCAACCGATCTGGGCCGCTCCATTGTGCTTTTGGCCTGCTCCATCTCGGCCTGCTCCCTCTCATCAGGTAACATAATCATCTGTCCCTCTTCTATTTTAATTCCCAATTCACATTTTTTAATCCCTAACCCTCGAGCCTCCATCCCCAAATCCTCCCCTCTCTCATCCATTCCCAATCTCTTCCCTCCTCGTCGCTCTTCTTCTATTCCAACCATAACAATACCCACCCCACGAGAAGATCCTTGTCCCCAAGGATCAAATCCAGGAAACTGAGATTTTAAAACCGTATAGTCTTCCCATGTGTCGTTCGATTCATCAAGATTCTCTCATCGAACCAAAAGCTGAGTGATTGGTTTGCTGTGTCTATTCACTATACGTTTAGCCAAAATCTTTAGAGGTTTAACTCTGAAATTTCCTTCATCATCTATTGCAGGAGGGTCCGTTGTAGCAATAGAGGAATCCCTGATAAATTTCTTCAGAAGGCTTACATGAAACACTGGATGAAGTTTTGATGAATCAGGTAAGTGTAATCGATATGCCACTTCACCGATTTTTTCCAGAACCTTATATGGCCCATAATATTTCGCTGCTAACTTTAGGTTTTTTCGCAGGGCTAATGAAGTCTGTCTGTATGGCTGGAGCTTCAGGTAAACCATATCCCCCACATGAAAAACTCTTTCTGATATCTTTTTATCTGTTTGTTGCTTCATATGGTTGCTGGCTAATTCCAATTGATGCTTGACCAATTGTCTAATATTCTCTCTGTTTGTCATCATATCTTGCACTGCTTGCACTGTAGTTTCTGTGGTCTAAACCATAATAGGTGGTTTGTAACCATACAAAGCCTGGAAAGGTGTAATTTGTAGGGCAGTGTGATAAGTGGTATTATACCACCACTCTGCATGAGACAACCACTTAGCCCATTGCTTAGGCTGATAGAAGC